TTTATCAAGCTAAGCAAACATAAAAGCATACGTCTCCCCATTTTATTATAGGGTCTGGCAAATACTAGTAACTTACTACTGTGGTAGCTGTTAAGCTGTTAAACTTGATATGTTAGGAGTAACGTAAGTTGCAGTATGGATGTTTAAGAAGTATATGTAGTAAAAGAAGAAATAAGCTTGAATGATTATTGCTACGTACACTGACTACCAAATTGTGTGATCAGTACTAAAGAAGTACTTTGAAGTAGTTTAATCATGCTGACAGAATGGACTTCAGTGAGCTGATATATGATCTTCATTTGATAATTTTAAAATTTATTTATAAATGTTGGGTAGGAACTTTTAAAATTGAATTTTAATTGAAGAACACAGTGTTAACATCAGCTGTGGTTTGATTGTGAACATCTAAGTTTACTGCAGAAGTGTGGTATGCCAATAATAAAGAATGTAAATTAAAGGTGGAATTACAACCATTTTATCTCACAAAAAACATTTTAGCTCTCCCAAATATAACACAGAGCTAGTTACTAAAGCTAAAAGTGATTACTGCAGGAAATGAAAGAACATAATAAGTAGGAGGGATTATTTATTTATTTATTTATTTAGCATATGGTTTATTATACATGGACTAGCAACATATATTAACATTTCACTTAGATTAGTAAATTACAATAAAATACAAATGTTAAAAATATGTAGATATCTTCAAATACCAATGTCTAGGCCATCTAACCATTGAAACACAACATCATTTATATTTTTAAAAAATCAGATATTTGATCAGTATATGCACTGAATTATAGTTAGTCACAATGTTACACTGAGGGGAGGATACTATGCCCCATTTATAGAGTCTTGACAGAAGGCATGTGAGATGCGAATCCTATCCAAGGTTGTCCATTCGTAGTAGTTCAAAGGCTGGCACTTTTTAAATGGGGTCATTTATACGTCTATGTCTGGGGGTTCAGCGACCCATTTGGCTTTCCTTTGGGAATCAATGTTAAAATTGTTAGGCAGATGTTGTGCAAGTGCCAGTGGGGATTTCCTGAATTTGAGTCTTCCAGCTGATAAAGGAGGAAGTTAGGCATACACTGGTAGGAATGAGTTCATAATTTTTCTGTATTCTCTCGCTAGTGTGTCTTGCCTTTCTAAAGTTGGAGGTGCTATGTCGCTCAGAACAGGAACAGGAAGCCAGCAAGTTGGAATGGTTTTAATACATCCACCTATAATCCTCATGGTGTCGTTGAGTCTGGCAAATACTAGTAACTTACTACTGTGGTAGCTGTTAAGCTGTACAGGGACACAGTATTCTGCTGCGGAGTAGACCAACCTTAGTGCTGATGCCCTGAGAATGACAGCTGAAGAAGCTCCCCATTTAATTCCACATAATTCATGCAGTATGTTCTTCCTAGTTTGGATTTTTGTTGCCATATTGTCTAGGTGTATCTTGTCGAGAGTGTGGTCCAATGTTACTCCAAGGTACTTTGGATGGGGATAAAAGGAAAGTAAGTTGTTTAAGTAGAACTTCGGGGATTCATATGCTAATATGACAGGGTGCTAACAGGCACCCTGTTATTAAGCTGGTTATTAAGACCAGCTGCCTGCAATTACTGCAGGTTCGAATCTCGCCAAGGCTCAAGGTTGACTCAGCCTTCCATCCTTTCTAAGGTAGGTAAATTGAAGACCCAGTTGTGGGGGCAATAAGCTGACTTTGTATAAATATACAAAAGGATGAAGGTTATTGCTGACCACATTGTAAGCCGCCCTGAGTCTCCGGAGAAGGGCGGCATATAAATCAAATTTTTTAAAAAAATTGTTACTAAGGTAGGAAGGCTAATACTGTTATTATTTAAATACTTAAAATAGTCCTCACAAGAAATGGCTATTGTTGACTGGGATTGGAGCCAGAGACGTGAATAACATAAAATTACAAAGAGGTAAAAAAGCCAAGCCAAAATCAAGATCTTTTCACGTCCAACAAAACCGTCATCTAATTCTTTTTTAGATAATGGTTCAGATACCCCAAATGAAGGCCCTATAGTGAAATCATCCTATGTCATTATTTATTTATTTATTTTATTTATTTATTTTATTAGATTTTTATACCACCCTTCTCCAACTGGACTCGGGGCAGTGAACAGCCAAGAATAAAAACATCACATACAAAATTTAAGATTAATTTTAAAAGAATTAAACAAGTTTTGGCCCAATATAAAATTTAAAACACCCCAACTAAAATCAATTAATAATTAAAAATATCTAAGGGGGGGGTCAAGCCAGCCCAGCTTGATGAAATAAAAAAGTTTTAAGGGCATGGCAAAAAGCACGGAGATCTGGGATCCTACATATCTCCGGAGGCAGGTTGTTCCAAAGGACAGGTGCTGCCACAGAGAAGGCCCTCCCCCTGGGGATCGCCAGCCGACATTGCAGGGCCAACAGCACCCTGAGGAGTCCCTCTCTGTGGGAGCATACTGGCTGGTGGGAGGCTATCGGTGGCAGAAGATGATCCCATAAATACCCAGGCCCTAAACCATGGAGCGCTTTAAAGGTGGTAACCAACACCTTGAAGCGCACCCGGAAGACCACCAGGAGCCAATGCAGCTCGCGCAGGAGAGGTGTCACATGGGAGCACCCCATCACTCCCATAATCCCCCACGCGGCCACATTCTGCACCAGTTGGAGCCTCCGGGTGCTCCTCAAGGGGAGCCCCATGTAGAGAGCATTACAGTAGTCCAGGCGAGAAGTGATGAGTGACCATGCGTAAGGAGTCCAAATCCAGAAAGGGACGCAACTGGCGAATCAGGCGAACCTGATAAAAAGCCCCCTTGGCCACAGCCGTCATATGCTCTTCTAAAGACAGCCGTGCGTCCAGGAGGACGCCCAAGTTGCGAGCCCTCTCCGTGGGGGCCAGTAACCAATAGCCAGCAATGGCACCAGCTGGCTATATCGGGACGTCAGAAGCCACAGCCACTCAGTCTTGGAAGGTTGAATCGGAGCCTATTTCTCCCCATCCAGACCCGCACGGCCTCCAGGCACCGGGACATCACTTCAAGGGCATCATTGGGATGGCCTGGGGTGGAGATGTACAGCTGACTATCCTCAGCGTACTGATGGAACTCCACCCCAAAACCACGGGTGATTAGATGCTCACTGTATGATTACAAGAGAGCCGGAAGAAACTGAAGTAAACCTAGCCAAAGAATTTGCCTTCATGAATCAATAGTCATGTATGGACAACCATTTATACTCTCATACAAAGAAATTGGCCTTTGCTGGAAGATGATGAGGCCAAGGATATAAATGATCAACTGCAGCCTCAGCAATTGGAAATTCTAATGAATTGTTAAGATTAGGTTTGCTAGTACCTTTGCTTTCTTTTGTCAAGTTAGTCTACCTTATTTACAGATATTTTCATTTTGTGATTTTTTTCTAGTTCTTTCTTTTCCATTCTGTTCTCTCCAAGTAATCATTCTGTGTGATGTTCTTGCAGTAGCTAACTAGGTGGTCTATTGTTTCTTCAGCTTCTTTGCAGAGGTGCTAGAGGTGGGATTTGCTATCTATTGATGTCTTCTTAATTCTGAAATTGTATGTATTTATTTTTAAGACTTGCTCTTGTGCTGCCAGAATTAGCCCCTCTCTCTCTGTCATCAATTTTCTTAGCCAGGGTGGGTTTTACTTACTTTTACTACCTGTTCACCTTTCTTCTGCACATGTGCAGATTGCTGATGATGACATCTGGGGTGGTGGGTGGGGCCTCCCGCCAGTTTTACTACTGGTTCTTGCTAAATGGTCCGAACCGGGGGCAATCCACCACTGCTCTTAGCCATTGCCAGGTCTTATTTTTATCTGCTTTCCCTGCTATTTTTTAATGTACTTGCCATGTCTCTTTATTTTTTAATCTGATTTTTCTTATTGGCCAATTTGTTGTCTTTGATATTCAGTTCTTGGTGTACTAACTCTGGTACATCATCTTTGCTGCCCTTCAGATATTTGTGACTTTTACTTCAGATTGAGTCCAGTCCACTATTCTAACTGTATATCTAATATACAGATATTATCAGATAATATACAGAATTATCCAGGTATTCATTGCTTTGATGGTATTTTGGTTATTGAATGTGGATTTTAAGATATTCTCTCTTCTAATGTATTCACTAACCTTCTCCTTGACTTAACTGTGCTTGATGTTATCAGCCTGAAAGATGGTCAGGTATTATTTTTAGTTATCATTTTCATCCAAACTTGTGATTTTATTTCCATAAGGTCATCTTGAATTTTTAAAAAAATTCCTTATTTTATATCCCTGTTGTATTTACCTTGAAAAAGAATATCATGATGGCTGTACATAGATTTCCAGATTCTGGATTTCAGTTGCCAGAATTCTCAACAATGGCTATATGAGTGAAAAAATCTGAAGTCCAAACATCTAGAATTTATTAAAATTGGTAAACAGTGGATTAGAGACACAAATAATGGGATTCTATATCTGGTAGCTTTCCATTTTGTACTGAAGTTAAGAGGATCTGTTTATGCATGTATAAGATTACTCTCTGTTGAATGAATATGATCTAGTAAATGTAGTAATTATAATACTATAAGGGCTGTAATTTTTCTTTCAACAAATTAATTTGGAGTTAAATCCCAGTTAAAAACGGCTCTTTTTGAAAGCCATTTCATTTCACTTTTCAGTGAAAGAGCTGAAGTTAAAGGTGCAGATATTCCAGACTTTTCTTTGGTTCTTAGCTGTCTGAAATTTCAGTGCAGTTCTTGCATTGTGTAATTGGAAATATATATTTACAAATATATTGTTATATCCCATTAATTTCTAAAGCAGAGAATCCAAGTGTAAAATAACCGACAATTTAGATTCATCGTAGCTGACAAAACCTTTCAGTTTGTACTGTACATATAAATGGGTCTGCTTGTATGTACCTTTTCTAGCACACAGATAGTATTTCCAAGATATACATCTGCTAATTTATGCTATTTTTTATCACCAGATTCTAACAAAAGAAGATCTGTGATCCTTGTATCTGCACTTATATTTGAAACAAATATGATTTCTCTCATCCTGCTGATTCTTGTCTCTAGGGCAAATTCTAAGGTCAGTTTTACAGTGTTTAAATTCTAATAGATGTTTAGGAAAACAGGAAAAACAAAATTCACAATTATATGGCCTTTTCTAGAGAAAAGAGTTGAGGTCCTCTGTAACAAATCTCTATGAACATTGTGTAAGATGTCACAAGGCAGAATATACTTTGCTTTCCCTTCAGATTGTATAAATCTTTCACCTTTTACTAAAGATGTCACAAGCCAACAGTTGCTTTTTATTCCTAAGAACATATACAGTTTTTCATGTGATCTTGTTTACAGTGGACCAATTAATAATTATAAAGCAACAATGCATTTGTAAATATTCAAGATTTGCAATTTTGGAAGAAGGCTGAGATATTTTTCTTCTTTTTCTATTACATCTTGGTAAAATTCTACACTGTAAAACTATTAATTACAACTAAAAAGTAGGTTCAGGCTATAGAAATAAATAAAATGAGTGGAACACAAATTAAGTAAGGGTAACTGGAAGTTAAATCATTCTCACCTTTTGCAGAATAACTGATTTCAGTTCAATTAATTCAAGAATAAATGGGTTTTTTATATAGGTGGTTGATAAACTGGTTGATAACATCTGAGTCATTTTACAGTTTAATCAGTTAAGTCTTAACCATATTATTTTTAGATATATTCTTTAGCTACATTTAATGTAGCTTTTCTGAGTTAATGGAGTATTTGGATAGGTTTTAATGGTAAATATTTAAAGATGGTAGCTACCAGTCAAGGCATGTCTATAGCACCACAAGTTATTATTTACTATGGGCATGTAGTATGAATGAGATTTTTAATGTGGGAATGTTCATCACCAGATGACTGCAGAATGAAGCAGTAGTTTATTTGTTTATCTTCAGATTACATGGAGAAGGAATATAGCTACTCATGCCATTCCATATCCCCATCTGGATTTGTTTGCAGAAATCTTAGGCACATAAAAATGTTAATCACATATTTTGTTGAAAATGAAAAAACCAAGAGCTTTTCAGAAATCTCTGATTCTATCACTTCATATCCCATTTACTATTGGGGTATTACATGTGTGAAAAGGTTACCATGCATAAATAAAACTTTGTGCAATTTATTTAAGGTTACTGATTAATATGTTTTAGTTAAGACACTTAAAGAATATAGCTTCAAGGTCTAATAGATTCAACTGAATATAAATATGTCAAACCCAGAACTATTATGTTGTATATATATGGAAAAGGAAATCCTAGATCATAAAGCACTAGGCTTATAGTTTGAAGTCATTGACAAGACATTCAGAACCATATGCAGCCAAATAAGGAGGGGCTGTATGATATGAGGAATAAGTAAGGGATCATATTTAGAAAATATTGCATAAAAAGCAGTCTAAAAACATCAATAGAATGGAATGAAATTTTGAAGGAAAAATGGAAGGTGTCTATTTTAAATATTGTATCAAAATAATTGATATCAGGGTCCAATATACCCAAGGATAATCATAAAATAAAATAACTAGTGGCAGTGAAGATGCTACATGCAGTTTACACATTCATTACAGTTGTGCAAATAACGTGATTTATGCAATCTGAAGACAAACCATTCAAAGTCTTTGAAATGGCTCTCAATTGACATGATTAAAGAACTGTAGGCAATTAACATAATTATATATTGCCAAGTTTGAATTTATTGCTTAAATTCTGAAATGTTTTGCAGATTTTTCGAATATGCTTGTGTTCTGGAGATATATTTCTTTTTATTTGTGTTTTTTATATGTAGAAAACTATAATTTCACATATACACATGTTAAAAAAAGTTTCATTCTGTTAAAAAAAGTTAATCTCACAGAAACAAAAATAAATGATACATGAGTACCATACCATATGATATGAAATACATTATTATCATTTTCTGCTACTATATTGATCACAGAGGTGTTGTCCAGTCTCTTCAATCTTCTTGTCAGCAACAGTAACCCCTTGTAGTTCTTATCTTGGATAAATTATCAAAATTCATTCTAAACATTGAGTAATTTTAGATCAGGGTAAGAACATTGATGGGATAGAGTAGCAGATCTGGGTGATTTGCATACAGTATGTAAGTAAAAGCTTCTAACATCTAATCATTAGCTCTAGTGACAACAACAAGCTGTTTATTTTGTTCTGAACCTTTTGGCTAAATAAAGACAACCTGGTAGAAAACAGGAGAAATTCTGAATATGAATATATTTTTGAATTTTTGTAAGTTTTGATACTAAAGCTAAATCCTTTAGTAGTTCTGGTTGTTAATCTCAATGTTAAAGGGAGAGAAAGACGGAGAGAATCTAAAAACTGAATGTTCTTACTATAGATTCGGTTATATTGTTAAAAAACTTGTTTTGGAAGTCCATACTACTATGAATTGTTCAGGTTCCAAACTGCAATTTTAGAAAACAATATTCACAATCATTAGCAAGATAAAACTCCAGTGGCAATCAAAGCTGTATCAATATGGTACTTAAACTTCTGGGCAGAAACAGTCCTATTGAAATGAGATGAAAAAAAAATTAAACAATATAGGAAGAGAATAAAAAAGGAAAGCATGTTCTATTTAATTCAGAATATTATTAAACTGACTCAGCTTTACTTCTGGGAACCTCATCTGAGAAAAGTTGGCATTTTGAAATATTTGTCTCTGTATCTGTTGATGCTGTTAAGGGCAGCAGAATGAATACCATGTGTTGTTTCTAGTTTTGGCAGATACTGCTGAGCGCATGTTTCAGTGGGCAAAACTGCCATATCAGGCTTTCTGGCAATCATGGTTAATTTTTAATCCATATTAATGTCCTTTTCATAGTCTCCTGTTTAGAAGTTGTTAATACATAGCAGCTGACTAAAATTCCTTGCTTCTGATTAACCAACAGCTTAATTATGTAGCAGCTTTTGTTGTCTCTTGAACTTGATGGATGAACATGGTACAATGTACAATATCTCATCCAACAAGTTAAGTTTTCCTTTACATTTATGTTAAGGTGTTGCCCTGCTTGCATTCTGAACTGTGCTATGCCCTTAGTTTCACCTTGCAGAAGATCTTTATCTGATTTTTTTTCTCTTCCTTGCAAAAATATCAATAGGATTTAGCTAACCTTTTTAAAATAAATACAAGAAAATCCCACTAACAACTTGGGTTACCTCTTGTGATTCAATGATTTATGATGCAGCGACTTGAGTGACTTGCTTCTACTTTCTCATGACTTTTATTGTTTTATCAATGTATAAAATATAAAGAAAAATAAAAGTAGGAAATTAAGGGAAGGAAAAAGAGACAAGGGAAGAAAATAGGTACAAGGGAAGAACAAAAAAAGCATTGACTTCCAACTCTTTTTAGCACAGTACAAGATAGCAACATTACAGCCTCAACTTTTTACTTTTACACATTAGTGTAAAAAACTAGACATTTCTATAACAACAAATCTATCTAATCAGCAAAACCAAAGTTTTTCATCACAAGCACAAAATCCAGAAGTGATATCCAAATAAAAAACATAATTAAATATCTTCTTTGTTGTGGAAATAATATACATTTCTGTTTGCATTTAATAATCGTTATAAACTATCACCATTTATATACCAAATTCACTGTATTATTTCAGATTTCTTCTGCTTTCAATATATATGCAAGAGCTTTATTTTATCTAAAGGTCACATTATATATACTTGCTAGTTTATTTATTTGTTATTTAATTGCGTCCTATCTCGGATAGTCGGCAGTTTACAATTTAGCTTATCTATTATTTTTATGAGTATTATATTGTATTTTAAGAATGGCTAAATATATTATGTTAGGTATATTGTTAGAATTAGAACGCATAATTTTCTAAATGTTGCATTTCGGCATATGAATATTCATATCCATGTCCTTCTTAAATTGTGGTGGGGGCAGGAATGAAAATGGTCCCACCTACAGTTTGCTTTGAACTAGTGATATGGATATGTATGTTTCATCAAGAACACAAACACTATTCAGCCAAAATAGAATCAAAATTTTTCCACACATTCCCATTTACTGAGCCATTGATTTCAAATGGAAAAAAATTGAGACTAAAAATGTGTGTGTGTGTGTGTGTGTGTGTGTGTGTACGTGCATGTGCGTGCATCAGCTGTAACATCATAAATGCATACTTGGTGACAAAGTTACTTTGTATTACTGTGGTAATTGGGAATGGTCTCTCTCTGAAGCAGTTCCTAAACAAGAATTACCTGTAATGTGTATTTATTCCACAGATTTTTTTATTAAACTAATTTTAACACTTGAATAGAATAGAACAAATAGGCTTGTCTTATTAAAATATAAATTAATATATTAAATATAAATCACAAAGACTCTATTATTGCATATTCCTATTTCCTTTTTTCAGGTTTTGTGAATTAGTAAACTGTTGATCCTGTCTTAGAGTAATCATAGTCTGTTGTTTCATCAATACAGTTGAACGTAGCCCGCTCTATCTATCTATCTATCTATTTATCTATCTATCTATCTATCTATCTATCTATCTATCTATCTATCTATCTATCTAATTTAAATACCATCTTCCAAATTTTCACTCATCTTTCCAAAGGGTAATTCTGGGTGGCTTATAATATTAAAAATAAACTATATAAACAGAATACTATAAAACTATAAAAATATAAAATATGCTAGCTAAATCCTAGTTTACTTAAATCATATTTAACATTAACCATTGTTTAGGTCATATGATATTTAGATAGTTCAATTACAATTGGAACTGGCAATTCCACTGCAAAGCAACACATTATGTCAGGCAAGATGTTATGTAATGGCAAATTATAATTTTACAGCTGGCTTTTCAATTGACTATGCTTGTCAGAAACGATCTATGAACTATGTCAAGGGTGATCACATGACTGAGTAGTGCTGCAACAATTGTAAATGCTCACCAGTTGCGAAGTGCCCAATTCCATGTGCCCTACTTAAATATAGTTGGGATAGTTGAAAGCAAAAAAGTGTTAATTTTGTGGCTGTGCCCAAAAA